GACATCCAAAAACATTTACCTAGAAAAATTAATTTGGATACATGATGAGTTTGTAAATTCATGAATACTAGATAACGAAATTCAATAAATTTCAAAAATTTAATGACTACACATTATCTAGAAAATTCCATGCATTAGGATAATAAATATGTATAATTATACAGGTATCACCGTTTTATTAGTTTCAACTGTAAGTGTTGGATGAGTCTTTTCAGTTTTAAATACATCTAACAAAAATTTCTTTGAATACATGTTGAGTTTGTAAATTCGTGAATACTAGATAATGAAATTCAATAAATAACAAAATTTTCATGGAAACACATTATCTAGAAACGACCATGCATTACGATAATAAATATGTGTAATTATACAGGTATCACCGTTTTGTTAGTTGCAATTGTTAGTGTTGGATGAGTCTTATCAATTTTAAATACATCTACCAAAAATTAGATTGAATACACATTGATTTTGTAAATTCGTAAATACTAGATAATGAAATTCATTAAATAATAAAACTTTTATGGCAACACATTATCTATTAGAATCATCATTCGGAATAATTTACCACTATAAGTGAATTTGGATACTAAATATGTATAATTACGCATGTATCAAAGTTTTATTTGCTGCAACCGTAAGAGTTGGAGGAGTCTTTTCAATTTTAAACTAAATAAAAAATAGTTTGAATGCTCGATGAGTTTGTAAATTCGTGAATACTATATAATGAAATTGAATAAATTATAAAAAAGAATTGGCAACATATTCTATTAGAATCATCATTCTGAATAATTTTCCATGATATGATATGTGAAAAAAGATTTCATGAATACTAGATAATTAAATTAAATAAATAACAAAACTTTTATGGCAACACATTATCTAGAAATGTCCATGTATTAGGATAATAAATATGTATAATTATACAGGTATCACCGTTTTATTAGTTGCAACGTGCAAGTCTTAGATGAGTCTTTTGAATTTTAAATACATCTAACAAAAATTTGTTTGAATATATGTTGAGTTTGTAAATTCGTGAATATTAGATAATGAAATTCAATAAATAACAAAACTTTTATGGAAACACATTATCTAGAAACGACCATGTATTACGATAATAAATATGTGTAATTATACATATATCATCTTTTTGTTAGTTGCAATTGTCAGTGTTGGATGAGTCTTATCAATTTGGAATACATCTAAGAGTGAGCTATTGGGTGGCTAATTTTATTTCCTGTCTAGCCTAATAATACACTGCTGACAATTAAAAGGGTCCCTAACTCTGATTTCATCACTTCACTCTCAACCCATGTAGCTGAGTTGGAAATGCTCCAACTTCTGAAGTCTTTTACCGTGATGAACCTGTTACGTGCGTGCCTTCAACATAGATAATGTCAAAGAAGTATTGAGTAAAATATTAATTCCCAATAGTATTTTTAATTTAAATTATTGGAAATTTTCTGCACATCATATAGGGTGACAAAAAAAAATGTATCGCGCTCTTACTTTAGTTCAATTTAATATGTTTTAAGTTTGCCTACAAATAATTTTATTACATTGTCAGCGAAATTACATAGCTAGGTGAAGTACCTCGTCCATGAGCCATGACAACTCCATTACGACAACTCAATATTCTGCAACTTTCGGAGCTCCTTGCGGTGGTTCTCGTACGCCTTGAGAATGGCGTCATGCATGTATCCTTCTTGGTTGGTCATCTTCTTGCTCCGCTCGATCTCCGGCAATGACAGAAACCTATTCAGAATGATAATTTTTTTTTCACATATCATATCATGGTAAATTACCAGTATACGTGAATTTGGATAATTAATATATATAATTACGCATGTATCAAAGTTTCATCTGCTGCAACCGTACGTGTTGGAAGAGTCTTTTCAATTTTAAACTAAATAAAAAAATAGTTTGAATGCTCGATGAGTTTGTAAATTCGTGAATACTACATAATGAAATTGAATAAATTAAAAAAAATAATTGGCAACATATTCTATTAGAATCATCATTCTGAATAATTTACAATATATAATATGTGAAAAAAATTCATTTACTCATTAACTATTTTGCTCTGTATGAATCTCCACACCCAAATTGAATTCGTTCAGTCACATTCCATAATTGTTTAATGACATCCAAAAACATTTTCCTAAAAAAATTAATTTGGATACATGATGAGTTTGTAAATTCGTGAATACTAGATAATGAAATTCAATGAATTACAAAAATTTAATGACAACACGTTATCTAGAAACGTCCATGCATTAGGATAATAAATATGTATAATTATACAGGTATCACCGTTTTATTAGTTTCAACTGTAAGTGTTGGATGAGTCTTTTCAGTTTTAAATACATCTAACAAAAATTTCTTTGAATACATGTTGAGTTTGTAAATTCGTGAATACTAGATAATGAAATTCAATAAATAACAAAACTTTCATGGAAACACACTATCTAGAAACGACCATGCATTACGATAATAAATATGTGTAATTATACAGGTATCACCGTTTTGTTAGTTACAATTGTCAGTGTTGGATGAGTCTTGTCAATTTTAAATACATCTACCAAAAATTAGTTTGAATACACATTGATTTTGTAAATTCGTGAATACTAGATAATGAAATTCAATAAATAACAAAACTTTTATGGCAACACATTATCTATTAGAATCATCATTCGGAATAATTTACCTGTATACGTGAATTTGGATACTAAATATGTATAATTACGCATGTATCAAAGTTTTATCCGCTGCAACTGTAAGTGTTGGAGGAGTCTTTTCAATTTTAAAATAAATAAGAAAAATAGTTTGAATGCTCGATGAGTTTGTAAATTCGTGAATACTATATAATGAAATTGAATAAATTATGAAAAATAATTGGCAACATATTCTATTAGAATCATCATTCTGAATAATTTACCATGATATGATATGTGAAAAAATATTTCCTTTCCTAATTAACTATTTTGCTCTGTATGAATCTCCACGCCCATTTGAATTCGATCAGTCACATTCCATAACTGTTTAATGACATGGAAAAACATTTCCCTAAAAAAAATAATTTGGATACATGATGAGTTTGTAAATTCATGAATACTAGATAATGAAATTCAATAAATTACAAAGATTTTATGACAACACATTATCTAGAACCGTCCACATATTAGGATAATAATAGTTATAATTATACAGGTATCACCGTTTTATTAATTGCAACCGTATGTCTTAGATGAGTCTTTTCAATTTTAAATACATCTAACAAAAATTAGTTTGAATACAAGTTGCAAATTCGTGAATACTAGATAACGAAATTCAATAAATAACAAAACTTTTATGGAAACACATTATCTAAAAACAACCATGCATTATGATAATAAATATGTGTAATTATACATGTATCACCATTTTGTTAGTTCCAACTGTCAGTGTTGGATGAGTCTAACAATTTTAAATACATCTAACAAAAATTAGTTTGAATACACGTTGAGTTTGTAAATTCGTGAATACTAGATAATGAAATTCAATAAATAACAAAACTTTTATGGCAACACATTATCTATTAGAATCATCATTCGGAATAATTTACCAGTATAAGTGAATTTAGATACTAAATATGTATAATTACGCATGTATCAAAGTTTTATTTGCTGCAACCGTAAGTGTTGGAGGAGTCTTTTCAATTTTAAAATAAATAAGAAAAATAGTTTGAATGCTCGATGAGTTTGTAAATTCGTGAATACTATATAATAAAATTGAATAAATTATAAAAAATAATTGGCAACATATTCTATTAGAATCATCATTCTGAATAATTTACCATGATATGATATATGAAAAAAGATTTTCTTTCCTAATTAACAATTTTGCTCTGTATGAATCTCCACGCCCCGATTGAATTCGTTCAGTCACATTCAATAATTGTTTAATGACACCCAAAAATATTTTCCTAAAAAAAATTAATATGGATACATGATGAGTTTATAAATTCATGAATACTAGATAATGAAATTCAATAAATTACCAAAATTTTATGATAACACATTATCTAGAAACGTCCATGTATTAGGATAATAAATATGTATAATTATACAGGTATCACCGTTTTATTAGTTTCAACCGTAAGTGTTGGATGAGTCTTTTCAGTTTTAAATACATCTAACAAAAATTAGTTTGTAAATTCATGAATACTAGAAAATCAAATTCAATAAACTACAAAACTTTTAGGGCAACACATTATCTAGAAACGTCCACTTATTAGGATAATAATGTATAATTATACTGGTATCACCGTTTTATTAGTTGCAACCGTAAGTGTTGGATGAGTTATTCAGTTTTAAATACATCTAATAGATATTAGTTTGAATACACGATGAGTTTGTAAATTGGTGAATACTAGATAATGAAATTCAATCAATCAAAAAATTTTATGGCAACAGATTATCTATTCTGAATAATTTACCATGATACGTGAATTTGGATCCTATATATTTATAATTACGCATCAATCAAAGTTTTATTAGTTGCAACCGTAAGTGTTGGAGGAATCTTTTCAATTTTAAACTAAATAAAAAAAATTGTTTGAATGCTCGATACGTTTGTATATTCGTGAATACTACTTAATGAAATTCAATAAATCACAAAAAAAAAAATTGGCAACATATTCTATTAAAATTATCATTATGAATAATTTACCATGATATGATATGTGAAAAAAGATTTACTTTCCTAATTAACTATTTTGCTTTGTATGAATCTCCACATCCAGATTGAATTCGTTTAGTCACATTCCATAATTGCTTAATAGCATCCAAAATAATTTCCCCCCTCTTTCCTTAGTTACCAAAAATAATTATTTTTCTTAGTTATCAAGTTCACCTAAACAACCAAAAAAAAAAAAAACCAGTTACCAATTATTCTCTTCTTATTAAGTTGACTCATATCTCCCACGCTATAAAATCCTACCCCTCCCACCACCAAAGAGATATAGAAAACCAAAATAAATAAAAAAAAGAAGCCGAGAGATCATGAGAAAGAAGGTGAAGTTGACATGGATCGAGAATGAGGCTGCGCGTAAGGCGAGCCTGCGAAAGAGGCGCCCAGGGCTATTGAAGAGCGTCAGCGAGCTGACGACGCTGTGTGGGTTGGAGGGGATGTGCTTGATCTACGGCCCTGGGGAAGAGCATCCAACGGTGTGGCCATCGCATGAGGTGGCAGAGCAGTTGCTGAAGAGGTTTCTGTCGTTGCCGGAGATCGAGCGCAGCAAGAAGATGACCAACCAAGAAGGATACCTGCATGACGCCATTCTCAAGGCGCAGGAGAACCACCGCAAGGAGCTCCGAAAGTTGCAGAACATGGAGTTGTCGTGGCTCATGGACGAGGTACTTCACCTAGCTATGTAATTTCGCTGACAACGTATTAAAATTATTTGTATGCAAATTTAAAACGTATTAAATTGGACCAAAGTAAGAGTGCGATATTTTTTTTTTTGTCACCCTATATGATGTGCAGAAAATTTCCAATAATTTAAATTAAAAATACTATCGGGAATTAATATTTTACTCAATACTTTTTTGACTTTATCTATGTTGTACGCACGCACGTAACAGGTTCATCACGGTAAAGGGCTTCAGAAGTTGGAGCCGTTCCAGCTCAGCTACCTGGGTTGGCTGATCCAGGAGAAGATCCAGGAGATTCGTAAGCGGATCGAGCTTGGCGGACCTATTCCACAGGATGGGGCGGAGGTGGTGGAGGAGCAGGAGGATAGGAAGCCGGAGCTTGGGAGGGATGGTGATGATGCGGGTTCGGGGATGGCGCCTGCTGATGACGGTCGTCGTTGTGAGATGGAGCTGTTTCCCGGCGGAGGAGGTAGCGGCGGCCACTGACATTAAATACAGTGGTTGAAGGCGGCGGTGTGGCCCCTGGATTGTTTTTGTCTTTCCAATTTCCATTCTAGCAAACTGATTGCATGTTTTTTTATTCTAGAAATTGGGACTTTGCGGTTTAATTTTGCTTCGGTAATTTTGCGTTTTTTAAGAGATGATAGTATGGCGGTATGGGTATTGTTATGCTTTCGTTATGCATGTTTCATTTCCAGTCGCCTTGAATGAATTTCATTTTGCCAAGTTTTGTGTTCACTTTATATGGATATTCTCTTGAGACAACGAGAGAAAAGGAATGATCGAGAGAACTCTCATTGACAAAACAAAAAAATTGGCTAAATTTCATAGGATCTTGGAAATCAAGATAGTTTGAGCATTACAAATAACTAGATTAAGACCTGGCCCTTAGTCGGATACAATGAGATGTGATGGATGGTTTATACAAGTATCACATATGTATTTATACAGACAATTAAGTTGTTATCCAAGATACATACAATTGTGATGGATGAGATGTTTTGTTTGAAAGTTTTAGCAATTAGCAATAAAGTCTAATTCTCATTATATAAAGAAAGCGAAACATTTAACACCAACATCCAGACATTTATACTTGAATCCAATATCTAACATCAACATATAAATGTTCATGTATGAATCCGACAAATTTCTTTCTTTTTGTTAGTCAATTCCACTAAAACATCGTAATTCTCTTTAGAAACCGGAAATTAACTGTTCCGATCGATCTCTCTTTTCTTGATATTGACAATATTTTTGATTCCGACTACCGCTTCATATCATTGGCCTTCAAACAAATTTCTTCCGATAGTACTAGTCCGCATACCGGTAGTTTGACCACCGTGTTGGTTGAGTGACACGGTAGTTAGTCTATTAGAGTCCACTTGTCTTTGCTTATATTGTGTTTTACAGGATGTGACATGTTAATGTGTCAATTTGGGTGGGAGTATATATGGGATACTACTAAAAATACTATTTCATTAGTCAGTAATTGGTCATTCTGTTGTTGTAAACGTTACGCAAGTCACCATCAAGCGATTGATCATCCTGTTAGTAAAACCAAAAGTAAGTGGCCATTCACGTCATTGACCCTGTAATTTACACACGAACTGTCAGAGGAAAGTAGCAGCATACATCCAAGTTCCAACCCACAGTTTTGCAAGTCTGTACCATCTGGGGACTCTTAACACGTTACAAAAGACATGGAAAACAACCACACAGAGATTAAGCAGACTCATTTTCCCACCCAAAAAAGAATTGAAAGATCCCTTGGTGTTTTCGATCCATTGGCTAGTTAAAGATGGAGTCGTACTGGCTAGTCAAAGAATCCCTGAGATTTGAGTAGAGCTTGAAAAGGGAGTACTGTCTCAAATTCTCCACTTCGTACCAGGAATTGAGGGCTGAGTAGTGCTTGTCTGTGCCGGAGAAAGCTAGCTGGATCCCGATGCTGCAGTCAACGTTACCTCCATGGTTCTTGCAGCTGGGAGTTCTGATCGCACAATCTTGATTGTTCAGGCAGACCATCCCCGTCCCACTTGGACCACCACATTTAGCACAACCATCTCTTTTCCAGTACAAGTTTTGCAGCCTACCCTTCTGGAATTCGAGTACCTGCATTTGATGGCACAGAGAAAAAGCAAGGAAGCTGAGAAATCAGAGACCCCAAATTCGGATGAAATTGAAGAAAGAAAATAGACGTATTAGAAAAGACTTCACTCACCAGGGTAAAGCTTGTCACAGTGTATGTACCATTTGCGACAAAAGCGGGTAGAGACCTTGCAGCGTATTTTCGGCCACCAAATGCAACCATGTATCCACCAACGTTGTCCTGAACAAATTTAAGGGGGGAAAACCACTCAATCCACTGTACAGATGACATACATCTGGAAGCAGATGAATTAATAGTCAAAGCATGTAGTGAAAATTTGATTACTTTCACCGGGCTACTGAGATGGCCAACTAAGACATTGGATAATATCCAAACAAACAATGAGCCTAAGCGATATTCAAATTCTCCAATACCCAACTAACCACAAACCTATAATTATAAGTGAAATAAGCAGAAATATAACAAAATTTGGTGGCCCTGCAACATATTTATCCGGTTTCCATTTTCCTCTGATCTCCTTCCTTCCCCCAAACCCTTCCCTATCTCCCTTGTTCTCAATTTCAAGTACGACAAAGCAAAGCAAACGCAAAGTAAGAGATTTCACCCAAAGAGTACGATGTCCACATAGTTCATTTCCAACTCCAGTTCCTCCATCAGAGCTAATTAGTGCAAACGAAAACTTTAAACTCAAAGCTCCCTCGAAAAACGAGGGCTGTACATTATTGGCCTTACTTCACCTTCCTCCTAGAGACAAAAGACAAAATGATATTTAAGCTCCCAGCACCAGAAGATAGCAGAATGCAAAAGCCTCATAGGTCGATGCAACATATCCAAATTGGTTATTCTCCATATCCTAGAAGCAGCCCATGATTATAGTTGTAACAGCCTATGCTCCGCCAATACATAAAGTTAGCCAACAAAGCTCTCAAGCACAAAAATGCTTCGAACTGTCCCAAAGTTGTTAACTTTCTGATTAAATCGAGGCACCCAAATTAGACCATAACATCACGAAGCTATACAATTCCATAACAGCCATTCCTGCACATTGCCTCGAAATAAACTCTAATACATTTTTCATCACCATCAAGCGTAGAGAGCATAAGTTCAGAGCTCAAAATCTAATGCGGAGATATCCCTATCTATTGCAGCATTTCTCAAATCGTCAATTACCAAACTTAGAAGCAAAATGATCCTACAAGATCATATGATAACCATAATCACCAGCCACCAAAAATTTCTCTTTAAGCCCAATTTTGACCACAAGTCCAATCCAGGTCAAATGCAATTCAAGCACCGCTACCCATCAGAGTAAAAGAACTGCAAGCTTCCAAAAAATAAAATTGCGAGCCACCCGAATCGAGAAAACGATTGAGCAAGACAAGTAAGGGAAAAAGCTCACTGGAGAGAAGGAAGAGGTATTGATGGTGAGGATGGAGATCTCGTCGACTTTGGGCCTGAAGACGGAGATCTGAGCGCTTTGGCCGGAGAGACCGAGCCGGCTATCACAGGGAGACAACTGGGTTCCACTAGTGTTTCCATTGTTGTAGAAGGCGTTCCTAGAGGCGAAGACGATCCCAAAGGTGTAGCCGTCGGACAACTGAACCTTGGTGTCGGCGCAGGGCGAGAAGACGTGGTTTGTGTCGTCCGAAATCACGATCCACAGAGACGACGACAGACCAAGAGCTAGGATTGGAAGCAGGCTCACATCATATCTTGCAGTCGCCATTCCAGGTGTCTGGCAAAGCTGCAAGTTTTGTTGATTCGGTCCGGTTCGACGTTCGGAGTTCCCGAATGATGTCGGGTGTTAATTGCAATGTGTTCTTCTCCCAGCGAAGAACGGAAGCCAGATAGGAAAGGTTGAGAGAGAGAGAGAGAGAGAGAGAGAACGCGCAACAGACTGGAATCCAGAACAAGAGAGAGCTCGTGGGCCAGGATGAAATTCTTTGGTTTAACGTGGCCCAGCGAGATTTGAGCCCAAACCGAAGGGTCCGGATACTATAACAACACCTCTTTGTTGTTATAGTAACCACAAGGGTAAAAGGGTCCATTAACAATATCTAACAAATTAAAAAACAAATATCTCCGTTTCTATATCTCTTTCCTCTTGCCAGCTTCTCCTCCACCGTCGGGAACGCTGCAAACAGCAGCTGGTTCGCCTGGTCGACCCTCCCCGTGGCCTGCTAGTGATTCCCGGCGACGGCGACGAAGGCGCTGTTAACGTTGGAGGCCTCTCGCTGTGCGAACCTGAAGAAAGAGAGCGGCGGCGGGAGGAAAGAGAACAACGACGCGCGACGGCTAGGAGGAACGAGAACGGGCGCAATCGCCGACTATGGCTCCGACGGCCACGCATCCTAGGTCCTCCACGACTGCCTCTCCACCTTCCGGATCTGGATTTCAGATCTGGTAGTCAAGGAATTGAAGAAGATCAATCGCCATTTTCTCGTTGATGTCCAATCCGTGAAATTTCGGTGCTAACCGTTTTGAACAACGCTGAATCGCCCTCGTTCTTTAAGACGATGCCATTTTGGTTTCTCAAGTCTTTGGATTCGGGCAGTTCGTCGGCTTCGACTTTGTGAACGGTGATGATGCGGACAAGGAGGCTCTGTTTCTAAGTTGAGCTATTGTGCCGAAGGGAAGCGAACGAAGAGAGTTGTGCTGGAGGACGTGACGGGGGAAGTGTAATCGATCAATTGTTTCATTCATTGTGTGGCTCTGATTCCGTTGATAGTCATTCGCCCGATGAAGATGCCCCTCCGCCGCTGTCCCACGAGATTCCTCTTCTTCTTATGTAATTGATTTATTGTCGCTGATTTTTCTAGGTTATGGGTTCAATATCTTCTCTTGTCAGGTTTTTGATTTATGGGGATTGGAATTTCTTCTTACAGATGTAGAACTGGGGAGGAAGTTGACTGCTCCAATGTTGACTACTATGATCTGAAGGTAGTCACAAATGCAACTTCTTTTCGAGATGCTGCTTTCAGACCATTATGATGATGATGACAAGACAAGTGAATAATCTCATAAAAAGCACACCAGAAACCTCATAATGGAAATCACAAATATTGGAAAACAAACCAGAAACGTCCTAATGCTGACCAAAAATATATTAAAACACACCAGAAACCTCACTAAGCAAACCATAGAATTTTCAAAAACACACCAGAAACCTCATAATGCAAACCACAAACACGTTAAAGCAAACCACAAACGTCCTAATGCAGACAAAAAATCTATTAAAACAAACCAGAAACCTCACAAAGCAAACCACAAAATTTTCGAAAGCACACCAAAAATCTCATAATGCAAACCAGAAACACGATAAAGCAAATCACAAAAACAAACTAGAAACGTCCTAATGCAGACCAAAAATCTATTAAACCAAACTACAAACCCCGCAAAGCAAACCAATTTTTTTCGAAAGCACGCGAGAAACTTCTTAATGCAAACCAGAAACACGATAAAGCAAACCACAAAATGCATACAAAAAATATGAGAAACCAAACCATAAATCTCACAATGCAGACCATAACATCCGGTGATCGTTGACCATTGACCAGTCAACGAAAACCGTTGACCAAACTCCGATGATCGTCAATGACCAGATTCCGGCGCCGATAGG